GAAAACTCCTCTATTTATAGAAGAAAGGAAGCAACTGCGAGGCTTTTCAGGAAGCAGCTGCAAGGCTTTTCTTTAGCTGCTTGTAAGTTGTCTGTATGAGCTGCTTGCAACCTGTCTGTTTAATAAGAAGCTGCTGCAAATCATTTTATTGAGCTGCTTGCAACCTGCCTGCATCAGCTGCTTGTAGATAAACTTCAACAGAGTACTAAATGGATAATCTTCTTCAGGAAGATTGTCTATAGCGGATTAATAAATGGACATCCACAAAATAATTATTTTCATAACACTCTCCCTTGGATGTTCATTAAAAGGTATTGTGCCTCGTTAAAACCTTACTAGAAAAAATTCAGTGGGAAAACTCCGTTCCGGAGTCGTCTTCATACAAGTCAAACTACGGTTAACTCCTACGACTTAAACTTCCAACTTAAGGACTATGTGTCCCATCTCACTCCTAAACTCACCCAAAACCAAAACCAAACACCGTGACGAGTCATGTAACTACAATATAATACAGAGAAGGCAATAAATAGTGGACCGGGGCTAATACACTCAAAACGACCGGCCAGGTCATTACAAAGTAGGATTAGTAAGAACTTATATTTTTGGTTATTAGTTGTTCATGGTGGCATTAGGATGTCATGTTATCACTTTCGGATTTTTTGTGTGTGGTTATAATATGTCATCCCTTTGTTTAATGTTATGCACACTTGACAATTGGTTTGTATGTTGGTAACGACTAATATATACTTTAATAATACTTGTATTTGGTTAATACATGAAGTTAGTGTGCTTAGGTTGTTAAATTGCTTTCCATCTTATTGGTGTACTTTCTTTCATTCTTGATGAATTCCTTAGACTGTAGCTTGATATTAAATTGATTCTCCTCTAATTATTTTTTAATTTTTGTTCATTGTAAGTTAGGTTGTTACTAAGAATTATGAGTATCCCATCCCATAGTTTGGAATCTAACTTTGGTTCTTAAGGCGAGATTTGACGATAATTACTTGTTGTACAAATGCTTAAGGCAGAATAAGAAAATCATGGTGCGTGAATACTCATCAAGAAAGGCTCACTGTTGGAGGAAGAAATACTTTGGTAGATGCCCTGAGACTTCAGAACTGCTAACCTAATAAGATATTATAAACATTCAAGTCACGGTGAAAAGAAAATCATGATGAATACTCGGTACAGTTCGACATGGTAAAAAAAAAAGAGAAGCTAGAAGAAAAAAAAATAAATTGAAAAAGGTAGAATATAATAAACATACAATAAGGATATTAAAAGAAATTGGGACTCAATATATAAATGAATATATGGTTGTCGGTATTTTTATGTCTTTCACTTCTTGAGTTCAACAAGTGACTACAAAGGAGATGAATAATATGCGAGGAAGAAGTGCAGTAAATGAAAGGGGTTTAACGGGTTATTAATGAATTTTTTAAAAAAGGTATTTTTTTAATTTGGTAGCTTTCCATTAGGTGAAGGGTATTCTTAAAAAGTTTAGCTAACGGTAAGGGTAGATATGTCCCGATAGTATAACATATGGTAAATGTGAACAATATACCAAAGTAGAAGGATATATTTGACCATTTTCCCTTGATTATATATAGTTAGTTATACACATATTATATATGAGTTTACATATATTATATCTCCATCGGCTTATGTTTAGTTTAAGGGATTAGAGTGACGGCTATTTTTTATCTTTTCATAATTTATTTACACTAAAGACATATATACTTGGCTATGAGATAGAACATCAATTGATATATCATAAAAACAAGATCACGTGATTAATTCTGAAAAGCAAATACAAGAAGAACAATATTACAAAATTTTGAACTAAGATTTGCTTTTGTTTTATATCTAGCGGTCTATTTTTATTTTATACAAACTTCTATTCTTTATATTTCATGCGAAAAAACTATAAGAGACAAGTTTGCTTCTCATGCTTTAATTTAATCCATTTGTATAATAATTTTTTTTTCACATAATGAATTCAAACTCAAGATATATTGAAAAATGTTTTATTTGGAGAAAACATAAGCACTAATAATTTTATTTTAGCGATCCGTTTGTTATTTCGTATATATATATGAAGAGAATGAATTTTTTTTCTCGATGTAAGATGCTAGATCTAATAATACCAGAAATCTCAAGTTCGAGCTTTAGCGTACTGAGCATAAATGATTATAACAAAAGAAAAAGCTCCCTAAATATTAGAAATTTTAAATAATTAGAAACTTTAAGGAAAAAAATCGTTTCTAATTACTTTTTTTTATTTTCGTTTCTGTGAAGAAATAATAGAATGTAGGGCCACACAATTATTGTGTTTTTGTATTGTATGATTCTGCAAATTGCAACAATCTACGTGCATTCCCCAATTTACCCCTATCTTTTTCTTTTCATTATTTCCATTTTCAAAGTTCCTCTCTCTCTCTCTCTCTCTCTCTCTCTCCAAATTTACCTTTTCACAGATATTTCAATAGAATCACAAACCAATCTCAAAAAGGAACCCAAAAATACAATCTTTTTGCAAACCCCAGATTCCCTTTTCACAGAAATTTCAATTGAATCACAAATCAATCTCAAAAACTCATTTTTTAAAAAATTTATTAACAAAATGGACCTAAAAATACAATCTTTTTGCTAACCCCAAGATTTCCCTTTTCACAAAAATTTCATCAAATGGGAGAAGAGAGCACTTCAAATGATAACAATGCAAATAACAATAACAATGGAAGCAGCTATGAGTCACCAGTTATATTGAATGTGTATGATCTAACCCCTGCTAATCAGTACACTGTTTGGTTTGGTTTTGGAATCTTTCATTCTGGTGTTGAAGGTAAGAAAAAATTAATCTTGTTCTTTTGGAGATTTCTATTTAAAAGATTCTTTTTTTTTCCTGTGTGAAATTAGATATTTTTCTTTGATTTATTGTTAGAAGTTAGATATATGTTATTGGCATATTGTTGTGGGGTTGGTGATAAGGAAGGTATAGCAATTAGCAGCCACTTTTGAGCTCATGTGTAGGGGGGATTTTTTTTTTTNAGATGTGTTTATTGACTACCAGAAACTGTCTCAGGTAGGGGCAAGGTGTTCCATACACTCTATCCTCCTCAGACCCCATTATGTGGGATTACACTCGTTTTTTTTTGTTTTTTTGTTGTTGTTGTTGTTGTTGTTGGTCTGAGATGTGTTTATATGGAGTAAAATGGTCAGTGAGGATTCATATAACCGACCCCAACTTATTTGGGATTGAGGTGTAGATATTGTTGTTGTTGTTATGGGGTTGGTTATTAAGGAGTAAAGGAGCTTTTGTTTGTTTGATCTTGAATTTGGAGTTACTTTGATGAAAATGTAAAGTGTGCTTCTAATAAGTTGTCTTGATCTTGTTTGCTTCCTCTGACAACTTATGTTATTAAATGTGGAAGCTTTTGTTATTCATTATTAAGGACTTAAGGTTATGGTTGGATGTATATAAAGAGCTGCAGGTGGAAAAGACCATGTATTTAGATTAAGGTCGAACCAATTGTCACTTAGTGCGTGCAATGGGAACTTTGTAATTGTTCCCCTGACTTAAAATTCAGTTTTTCTTGTGGATATGATGAGAAATCTTAGTGATGTTTAGCTGCAAAAACCTAAGCCCCGAAGATACAAAAAAGAGAAAGGAACAACAACAACAACCCAGTGTAATCCGACAAGTGGGGTATGGGAAGGGTAGGATGTACGCAGCCTTACCCCTACCCTGGAAGGGCAGAGAGACTGTTTTCCGATAGACCCTCAGCTAAAGAAAGGATGGAAGAAGCACCTATAGCAAGTAATATCAATACAAGGTATTTAGAAAACAAAATCCAGGAAAGCAAAAGAGAGTATGAAAGAAGCACAAATAGTCAGTAATAACAGTACAAGATATGAAATGAAAACAAACTAAGGGTGTACGGAAGGCAAGTAACAACAATGCAAAATATGCGGTAGTAGTAAACTAAGAATAAAAAGGATACTAAACTAACACTAATACTATTGAACTAAGGAAGACACAGAGAAACACTCGACTAACTACTAACCTTCTACCCTAATTCTCAACTTCCACACCCTCCTATCAAGGGTCATGTCCTCGGTTAGCTCCAACTGTGCCATGCCCCGCTTGATCACCTCTCCCCAGGATTTCTTTGGCCTACCTCTACCCTTCCTCTTACCTCCAAGGCCAATCTCTCACACCTCCTGACTGGGGCATCTGTGCTTCTTCTTTTAACATGCCCGAACCATTTTAGCCTCGCTTCTCGCATCTTTTTCTCCACAGGGATCACTTCACCTTGTCCCGAATAACTTCATTCCTAATTCTATCTAACCTAGTATGCCCACACATCCATCTCAACATCTTCATTTCAGCTACTCTCATCTGCTAGACATGAGAGTTCTTGACTGACCAGCACTCTGCCCCATACAACATCGTCGGTCTAACCACTACCTTATAGAACTTACCTTTAAGTCTCAAAGACACATTCTTATCACACAAGACACCGGAAGTGAGCATCCACTTCCTCTTCCCCGCTCCGATATGATGTGTCACATCCTCGTCAATCTCCCCATCATTCTGAATTATAGACCCAAGGTACTTGAAACTCTCTCTCCTGGGAATGACTTGCGTATCAAGCCTCACATCCCCGTCTGATTCCTGGGTAACACCGCTGGACTTGCACTCCAAGTATTCTGTCTTAGTCCTGCTCAACTTGAAACCTTTAGACTCAAGGGTATGTCTCCAGACCTCCAGCCTCTCATTAACACCACCTCGCGTCTCATCAATCAGAACTATGTCATCTGTAAATAACATGCACCAAGGCACCTCTCCTTGAATGTGTTGCGTCAACGTATCCATTGCTAAGGAAAACAAAAACGGGCTAAGTGCTGACCCCTGATACAACCCCATTTCAACCGGAAAGTATTTATAGTCCCCTCCTGCCGCCCTTACCGGTGTCTTTGCTCCATCATACATGTCCTGGATCACTCGAATATAGCTATAGACACTCATTTAGCCTCAAAACATCTCCGTAAGACCTCTCTCGAGAATTTGTCATAAGCTTTCTCTAGGTCAATAAACACCATATGCAAGTCCTTTTTCATTGCCTTATACTGCTTCACCAATCTCCTCACAAGGTGAATGGCTTTAGTAGTAGACCACCCCGGCATGAAACCAAACTAGTTCTCGGAAATGGACTCTCTCCTCCTCATCCTCCCTTCTATCACCCTCTCCCAAACTTTCATCGTATGGCGCAACAACTTGATACTCCTATAGTTGTTGCAGTTTTGGATATCCCCTTGTTCTTGTAAAATAAAATCATCGCACTCCACCTCCACTCTTCAGGCATCTTCTTCGTCCTAAAAATGATGTTAAACAACCTAGAGAGCCATTCCAAACCCGCCTTAAACCCTCATTTAGGTGTTCTTTTTTTCCCTTTTCGTGTAAGATAACTACACTGAGATGCTTTTGATAGTCAATGAATCACATTTACTTGTTTTTCTTCTCATTCATTCTTTCCTACAATTTTATGAATTATTAAATTGTTAACGGTCATGCTTGTATAAGCATTACCGTCAAAGCACAACAAGTTTTGTTATTATTGTGTGTAGATATCTTATTCTGTTGTTTCATCTTCCCAACATTTTGAGACATTGAAAATGTTGAAAAGCTGCCAAACCCGATTGACATTTCCTAGATTCACCAGTCATATCAATACTGTTATTCATAGATTTCCAAATAATTATGACCGAGAGATACAAGACAATAGATACACTTATCTTGGTCATATGGTCTGGATTTTTCAAGATACATCAAATCCATATATCACATTTTAATGCCATTATTATGCTCATTGACCGAGGAAAATTTGTGTGAAGTCCAAACACTTATTTGTCACTAAACGAACTTAATTCTTTGACTGGATATGTTCTTTTCACGAGAAAAGAAGAAAAAATTCGGTATGGATAAACTTTTTAGGTTCTCTTGTATGTAGAGTACGGATTTTAGAACTAAGGTATGCTGAATACATTCAAATAAAGCTCTTATACATAGCATAATAAACTTACCTCTTTTTGATTGGAGTTTGAATTTCTCTTTGCTTTCTGCATATGCCAATTGCAAAATTTCCAGTCCACGGTATGGAATATGGATATGGAGCGCATGACTTTCCCATAAGTGGCGTGTTTGAAGTGGAACCTAAGAGCTGCCCTGGTTTCATCTATAGATGTTCGATCCCATTGGGTCGTATTAAAATGCCTCCCTCTGAATTTCAAGCGTTTCTTGAGAATATGGCTTCTGAGTATCACGGGGACACCTATCACCTCATTTCCAAGAACTGTAACCATTTCACAGATGACATAGNATGGTCTACCTTAGGTATATGAGGGGTTTCTGGAAATTTATTATTCAGAGATTTGTATAAGGCACAAACCTAAGCCTCTTTATTTTGGTGCATCTGAAAATTTTGTCTTAATATTGTTATCTGCTCATTTTAATCGACTTTTGTGGGAATGAAGTGCTTGACAATAAATTCAAGGCGGAGACAGGAATTTCAGTAAGGGGGTTCAAAATATAAAAAAGTAAATATGCGGAGAAGTCAAGGGGATTCAACATTTACATATATACATTAAAAATAATTTTAACCTAGGATATAATGTAATTTTTTAGCGAATGGTGTTCGGAACCCCCTTCCGCCCCCTAGCTCCGCCCATGCTTAACATGTATGCTAATGATCTCATCAGGTAATTTATGCGATTTGATGGAGTTAAACTTGTCCGATTGTTTATTTTCACAAAAGTATACTCCACTTTATTTTCCTATTGGGAGGTTTCTTACTGATCTTTGTTAGTGGCTTTAAATCTTTTTTGCTGAACAAAGATGTGTTCGTGGTAATAAAGTTGGCGTATTATCTTAAATTGTAATTGTGCATCTCATACAATTCTTAAAAGGAGGTGTTGGTTATTGTTAATTTCAGGTGCTTTCTGCAGTTGTCTTCTTCCTGAGAGCCTCCAAGTGACAACTGTTAAACAGCTTCCTGAGTACCATCTTTGTGCAGGTGACATGATCCATATCCTTGTAATGATAAGTAGAAAATGATATACTTATAGCCTTATACTATGAATTACTTCGTTGTTTAAATCAATGAAGCGAGTAAAGCAAGGGGTTATATTTTATGGGTGAAGCCATCCGCTTCAAACAATGACATGCAAAGTAACCCCAACAACCAGTGGCGAAGGCAGGATCTCCGCGAAAGGGGTTCAAAAAGAAAAAGGTTAAAAAAGATTGTAGCTAGTAGGAAATGAACCTATAACCTTACAAAGATTTTGAACCCCCTTGACCACTAAGCTATACTTTTGGGTTGTGTTAAGGGGATTCAAAACTTAATATATAGAGGTAAAAATCAGATTTTGCCTTATACATACAGTGTAATGTTTCGGTAGATGAACCCCCTTCCGCCCCCCTAAATCCGCCCCTGCCAACAACAAGTGGTTGGTTCTTTGAATCTTGGATATCCGCCCCTGCCAACAACAAGTGATTGGTTCTTTGAATCTTCAATACTACAAATAGTAATTTTAATTGCAGTTTGATCATATTCTAATGCAAAATTCAGATATGTTATGTATTTTATCATGTCGTGAATTGTACTTAAATGAAACTTGCACTTCACTTCTCGCTTTTCACTTCAAAGCTATGGACCTTGTCACTTTTTTTTGCTTTTAGAAACATTGTTGTGAATATATCAGCTATACATCTCTTATGTAATACTCTTTTTTCTTTATATCCAGAAGAAGATGAGAGTGGGTCAATGTCAACTGCAACGCCGCACGAACCAACTGAAAGCGAGGATGGTGATCAAGATAAGCATTTGTTGTCACCTCCAGTTGGAAGTCGTGAAGTTGCTTTTATAAGGGAGACCCCGAGGTCAAACGTGCTGCCTGAATAAGAAGGCTGGATTGAAGTATTTCAGGCATCCCGATAAGTACATTTGATTTCCAGAAGGCTGTGGACATGTCAAGCATAGCCGCTGCTCAAATTCCCCATTTGCTATATAAATTACTAGTTCATTGATTTTCATGCCTTCTCCTTTTGGTTATTAAGGTTTCCTTAGTATGCTAGATGTAGAAGTCAAAGTGCAGGATTCTGCTCTGTAACTTAAGCGCGCCTTTGTTAGAGCTCAGAAATATTCGCGTAAACATTCTTGAGCTTGGAAGTTGAAACATCCCAGTGTTTGTGAAAATTTGAGATACTGGACATCTATTGAGAATGTAAAGATTCTAAGGAGGTATTCTGATGTCATGTCAATTTATGAACTGTGATTTTTCCAATTTCAGTTTATTTCCTTCTTTCATTTATTTTGATACTTGCTGCTAGTGTCCTGATCGCTGTACACTATACAGATATGTATCTGTTTGTTTGCGGACAAACACGTGACATTTGATTTTTCTTTGTTTTTTTGGTTGCTGTTGCCATTACTTTGGTCTCTTGTTAAAAGAAATTGCATGTTGAAATTTTGGCTTCTATGTGCTACCAAATTGCCAAAGTAAATCATGCCAATGGACAGAGGCTGTATTTTTATCAACTAGCACAAGAATATATATCCAAACATTAAGGTTCCCATGATCAGATAATACAGCAGTAAATTGACCGCTGTACAATGTTAAAGACATGAAATGCAGGACGAATAGAAGGTGAATGGTCACTGCCCCTAGTTTGGGTTGGGGGCAATGACCTGAATCAATAGCCTGCATTTCTGCTTACCTAAAAGTGCTTCAACACGGTACTCCCCATGAACACTAACCATCGTTGGTAGTAATGAAAAAGAAAAAGTTAAGTAGTTGGACCATCTGTTAATAATGATACTCCATATTTCTGCAATAAGTATGCATATGAAAGCTGCTTTTGACAATGCAACTTATGATTTCCCCTCCAGCCCGAGCTTTGAAGTTAGCCAAGCGCAAACTTCGTCCATCTCCTCTGGGATTGTGTAGTGGCCAAGTCTGTCAAACAAAAGTAAAAGATTCAGCCACATTTCTAGCGTCTGAACATGTAGAAATACAGTATACATACGCTGTGTAGGATTTGAATGTCACATCTTGGAAACCGCATGAACGTAACTTCTGAGACGACTTGTCACCAAATTTATATGGAACGACCTCATCTCCTGCGTCAAAATATAAATATAGCAGGTTAGAGAAGGATTTAGCCCTGATATCAGCCCAAAAGGAATGCTCGAGAAGGTGCAAAGTTCTTCCAACAAAAGTCACACTCTATGCAGAACAAAGAGGCTTGAGCCCAAAGGTTGCTGAAGATTGGAAGCGGGTAGCAGAGGTCAGAGAGCAATGAAACTTATTTTTGAAGCTTTTTGAAAAATGAAGCTTTTTATTTTTGAAGAAAAGTTAAGTAGAAGAAAAAATGAAGCATCTGAATACCTTTGCCATGACAAAGAAGAATGGGCAATGATGCAGCACGGCTTACAGCCCCCTCTACTCCTTCTAGTTTGCTATCGAGAGTCCTGCCAAATAATAGCACTCAATATAAAACACCCCAAAAGTATCAGAAGAGAAAAATGGCGAGATTGGTAAAAGTCAAACTTTGCACAGGGAAGCCAGCCACTTAATCCAACAGCTGCACTCAGATTGGCAGAGTATGAGTTGCCATTCCCATACTTCCCACGAGTGAAACAAATTGCAGAATAAAGAGAAGTTGCTGCGCCCATGCTGAAGCCTCCAACCCCAAGTTTGACTATAATACACAAAATAATAAAGTAAAAGATTTAATTTATTTTTTTTAAATAAAGAGTAAGAAAAATAAATTCTATAGATACTTGTAAGATCACTTGAGCGTAATGTAGAGAAGGTTTTAGTGTTTTTCGGATGTTACAGCTAAAATTTTACAGATCTCTAAAATAACAACTAGATAATGGGATGACTAAGGTAGAAATAAGGAAATTAACTCTTGCGTAGTAATCATATAAAGGATCATCTAAATACGAAATATTGGATAGGAAATAAGAAATACAGTTGCTTGTTATTAAAAATTGACAACCCTTAGCATGTATAGCTAAGTTGCTCCGACATGGCAGTTTAGGTGCCGCACCCGTGTCGATACGACACTAGTATGGGTGTGGGTATGGGATCCGTACCGGATCCGATCAAACAATTTTGGGTACTTTGACCACGACGGACAGAAAAATTCGAGACGAGATACAATTTGGTTACCGAAATCAGAACTAAAACTAGGGTAAATTTGAAGAAAATAGCATATCTTATCTAGGAAATCAATCTTTTACTTATCTACAACTTGAGAATAAAAAGGAAATCCACACTTTACAAGTTATACGTAAGTATTCCACAAAATTTCTCATAAATTAGAGAGATTTTTATTTTTTTAAATTATTTTTAGCCGGATCCCCACACCCGTATCCGTATCCCCGAATCTTAAAATTTACATCTTGAAAGATCCGACCTCTAGATCCGCACCCGTGTCGGACAACCGCACCCGTGTCCGAGCAACTTAGATGTATAGGCGTTTGACACAACCACTAAGGTTAATACATCTAGATGGTCTAGCCAGGCAACTTCTAGCCCCCAAGAAAGAAAGAAAGACAACTAAAGGGAACTATATTATTTACACACATCACACTAAAAAATCCAGCGGCATAAAGAGAATAGCATTGAAAAAAAAGAGGGAGATGGAAAGCTAAATATCTTTATTCATAGTATACACTATTATTAAAATCCATCCCTTGGTCGCTTGAAGCGATTCGGTGCGAGGGGTTATCGCTTCATGGGTAAAACATGTGCTTTATACAAGTTTGTGATTCAAATGATGGTGCACAAGTTAGTATAAGACGCAGGAATGGCTTACTGTGAGGGGGCTCCGTAGCCAACAAACTCGCCACATATGCTGCTGAAGCATCTAAACCCTCATCATCATCAATAGCATTTTCAGATAGGTCATTGACATCAAACCCTGTTACAAAAGATAGAAAAATAATGTTTTCTTTACTGCAGTGCTTGAAAGCATGACTTTCAACTTAAACTAATTCAATGACTAATTGGACAATGCTTTCGGATGAGTCGCAAATAAATAGAATTATCCAATTTACACATCCTGCAATGTACAACAATGGCAGGATAAAAGTTTGATTCTAAATTAGTTGTACATTGGAAAACAATGGGCACAATCTCAAAGCACAAAGCTTACAGGCAGTGGAAGGAAAGCCTCCAAATAAAGTTATTGGTCGTTGGGGGGCAGTTGGGCAGATCCATTTAATCTGCAGTTTAGAAAATAAGAGCAAAAATCAGGCTAAGCTACCACAATAACAAAAGCTTACGGCATGGACATGAAAGAGCAATATGCCATAGGCTATTACAAGATTCTAACGCACACAACTATGAGAGTTACATGTTTAACAGTCAACAAGAGATACCCTCAAGTACAAAAAGTAACATTTGGATCCTTACATTTGGAAGAGGAAGGGTCTCCAAGAGGTTGGACCAGCTGCCAGGAAAACCAAAAGTAGATTGTAAAATGTTTGGTTAATATGTTTCAGTTGTTCATTTCAAGACTCAAGTTTTGATATTGCATATTGCACTGTGCATAGCAAGCAAGACCATCAGAGAAGCTTGATATCCAACGTAAGGAACTCGTGTAGTCGTAATAGCATATAATTGATTCAATAGTTCTAAGAAATATAGCTCACTTTTTTTTAATAAGGTACAATTGAGTCATTGAGTAAATAGTTCAAGAATTATAGCTCACTTTCATTGCCATAAAAAAGGGAATCAATCAACCTCAAACTTAGCATGAAATAAGCAACTTCATTGTTAGATATATATCAATGAAAAAATGAGATATTTAATAAAAAACGTAACATACTTATCCAAATGTTAGTTTATAGATATGTATGGTGTAGTCTTGTCCCACATTGGAAGAGGAGTAATATCTCCTTTTAGTGTATAGCTATAAATAGGGACCTCTTGTATTGTATTTATCATCCAATATCAATAACATATTTTCTCCCGTGCCTTCTCACATGGTATCAGAGCATTAGTGAGAAAAGATCGTTGTGCGTCATTCCAGCGTTAACCGGGAAGAAAGAACTTAGTCATCGTGTAATTTTTCCAGTGACCTAAGGCTTGTCTAAGTGAAAGTCACTTTCTGTCGGTGTTGTGCTAAAACCAACACCACCACGAGGTAGATCACCCTCCGACTACCAACCCCTGAAATTTTATCCGGCAGAAAAGCCGCCACGCTCCTCCACGCGCCGGCAACAATTTTTCCGGCGAGGGTTCCGACCACTTTCCGGCCATTTTTTCGCGAAGCTTATTCAGGACAGTGTGCTCTCCTCAAAATTCCGAGCCTACCTATCTAATTCAAATCAAATTCCGGCCACTTTTATATTTTTCCGGCGTGAACAGTGACCTTCTGGCCATTTTTTGAAAATATTTCTTCAGGACAGCTTGCTCGCAAAGGAATTCCGAGTCTATCCATTCTGGTTACAACAAATTCCGACAACTTTGGAATTTTCCGGCGAGCTACAGTGTTTCCGGCGTGAACAGTGTTTCCGGCGTGAACAGTGTTCTGTTTTCCTGCTGAAAACAGTATTTTTCAAGCTATTTCTTCAATTTTCTCACAGGAGTTACTTATTTCCACTATTTCAAGTTAACCCTACTACTACAAATTGTAGCGACATGGGAACCGATGCTTTGAATAGTCGGATGGTTTCTTTAACAGAGTATATTGAGTTCCTTCAGTATAAAGCATGTAAGCAGACATCTTCTGAGATAGCTTCTGTTGTTCAAACAGGTAATAGCGTGACTTGTTTCTCCCAATCTTCATCCTCTGAGTCTTGGGTCATTGATTCGGGTGCATCAGATCATATTTCTGGTAACAAATCTCTTTTCACTACTATTTCGTATTCTCAATCTCTTCCAAAAGTCACAATGGCCAATGGGTCTCAAACCATGGCAACTGCAATAGGTCAAGCAAGCCCACTTCCTTCCTTACCTTTAGATTCAGTCCTTTATGTTCCCAATAGTCCTTTTAATCTCATAGCTGTTAGTCGCTTAGCCAAATCACTTAAATGCGCTGTTTTATTTCTTGATGACCATGTTTTTATACAGGAACGCAGTACGGGGCGGATCATTGGTACCGGGCGTGAATCAAACGGACTTTATTACCTTATCCTTGCTAAATCACATGGACTCACATCTTGTCTTCCTTCTACAACTTGTCCTGTTACTGATTCACCAGATTTATTACATAAACGGTTGGGACATCCCAGTTTGTCAAAACTTCAGAAAATGGTATCTGGTTTATCTCACTTGTCAGCTCTAGAGTGTGAGTCATGTCAGCTCGGTAAGCATACCCGCTCCCATTTCCCTCGGCGTCTTGATAATCGAGCAGAGTCACCTTTTACTTTAGTCCATTCAGATGTTTGGGGTCCTAGTCGGGTCAGTTCCACCTTAGGATTCCGCTACTTTGTCAGTTTCATTGATGATTATTCCAGGTGCACTTGGATATTTTTGATAAAAAATCGATCTGAGCTGTTTTCTATTTTCCAGACCTTCCACGCTGAAATTCAAAATCAATTTGGGGTTTCTATTCGCACATTTCGTAGTGATAATGCCCGAGAGTATTTGTCTTCCCCATTTCAGCAGTTTATGAAATCTCATGGGATTATTCATCAAACATCTTGTCCGTACACATCTCAACAAAATGGGGTAGCTGAAAGAAAGAATAGACATCTTATTGAAACTGCTCGTACCCTACTCATACAATCTCATGCTCCGTTGCGTTTTTGGGGGGATGCAGTTCTTACATCTTGCTATCTTATTAATCGTATGTCATCTTCAGCTATCCAGAACCAAGTTCCATTCTCTGTCATGTTTCCCCACTTACCTTTGTTCTCTCTTCCACCCCGTATCTTTGGAAGCACTTGTTTTGTCCATAACCTTACTCCAGGAACAGATAAGTTAGCTCCTCGTGCTCTTAAGTGCGTATTTCTGGGTTTCTCGAGAACACAAAAGGGGTATCGATGCTACTCTCCTGACCTCCAGCGGTACCTTATGTCCGCTGATGTTACCTTCTTTGAAACCCAATCATACTTCACAGGTTCAGGTCATCACTTAGATATTTCTGAGGTACTACCAGTTTCATCTTTTGGAGATTCAGTCACTCCAGCTCCACCACCTACAGCTCCAGTTGTAGCTCCACCACCTATAGCTCCAGTTGTAGCTCTACCACCTATAGCTCCAGTTCCACCACCTACAGCTCCGGTTGTAGCTCCACCACCTATAGCTCCAGTTCCTCCACATAATCCAGTTCAACCTTCTGCAGCTCCACCACTCTTGACTTATCATCGTCGTCCACATCCAGCATCAGGCCCAGGTGATTCACGCCCCGCATCAGATTCTGCACCTACTGCGGACTTGTCTCCTCTTAGTCAACCAATTGCACTCCGCAAAGGTGTACGATCCACACTTAATCCTAATCCCCACTATGTCGGTTTAAGTTATCATCGTCTGTCGTCACCACATTATGCTTTTATATCTTCTTTGTCCACTGTTTCTATCCCTAAGTCTACAGGTGAGGCACTATCTCATCCAGGATGGCGACATGCTATGATTGACGAGATGTCTGCTTTACATGCGAGTGACACTTGGGAGCTTGTTCCTCTTCCTGCAGGTAAGTCTACTGTTGGTTGTCGTTGGGTTTATGCAGTCAAAGTCGGCCCGGATGGCCAGGTTGATCGGCTTAAGGCTCGTCTTGTTGCAAAAGGATATACTCAGATTTTTGGGCTTGATTATAGTGATACTTTCTCTCCCGTGGCTAAAGTAGCATCTGTTCGTCTCTTTTTGTCCATGGTTGTTGTACGTCATTGGCCTCTTTATCAGTTAGACATTAAGAATGCTTTTCTCCACGGTGATCTTGAGGAAGAAGTTTATATGGAGCAACCACCTGGTTTTGTTGCTCAGGGGGAGTTTAATGGTTGTGTGTGTAGATTGCGCAAGTCACTATATGGTTTGAAACAGTCCCCTCGAGCTTGGTTTGGTAAGTTCAGCACAATTATTCAGGAGTTCGGCATGACTCGTAGTGAGGCTGATCACTCTGTGTTTTATCGGCATTCTGCTCCTAATCTGTGTATTTATCTAGTGGTTTATGTTGATGATATTGTTATTACTGGTAATGATCAGGATGGTATTACTAATCTGAAGCAACATCTCTTTCAGCACTTCCAGACTAAGGATCTGGGCAGATTGAAGTATTTTCTAGGTATTGAGGTCGCTCAGTCTAGCTCAGGTATTGTTATTTCACAGCGGAAGTATGCCTTAGACATTCTTGAGGAGACTGGAATGATGGGTTGCAGACCTATTGACTCTCCTATGGATCCGAATGCTAAGCTTCTGCCTGGACAGGGGGAGCCTCTTAGAGACCCTACGAGATATAGGAGGTTGGTTGGCAAATTGAATTACCTCACAGTGACTAGACCTGACATTTCTTTTCCGGTGAGTGTTGTAAGTCAGTTTATGGATTCTCCCTGTGATAGTCACTGGGATGCAGTTGTTCGCATTCTTCGGTATATAAAGTCAGCTCCAGGCAAAGGATTACTATTCGAGGATCGAGGCCACGAGCAGATTGTTGGGTACACAGATGCTGATTGGGCAGGATCACCTTTTGATAGACGTTCTACGTCTGGATATTGTGTTCTAGTAGGAGGTAATTTGGTCTCGTGGAAGAGCAAGAAACAGAATGTAGTTGCTCGATCTAGCGCCGAAGCCGAATATCGGGCCATGGCTATGGCGACGTGTGAGTTAGTTTGGGTCAAGCAGTTGCTCAAGGAGTTAAAGTTCGGAGAAATCAGCAAGATGGAACTAGTGTGTGATAACCAAGCTGCTCTTCATATTGCGTCAAATCCGGTGTTCCATGAGAGGACTAAACACATTGAGATCGACTGTCACTTTGTCAGAGAAAAAATACTTTCAGGAGATATTGTTACAAAGTTTGTAAAGTCGAATGATCAAGTAGCAGATATTTTCACTAAGTCTCTTACTGGTTCTCGTATTAGTTACATGTGTAACAAGCTCGGTACATATGATGTGTATGCACCGGCTTGAGGGGGAGTGTTAGTTTATAGATATGTATAGTGTAGTCTTGTCCCACATTGGAAGAGGAGTAATATCTCCTTGTAGTGTATAGCTATAAATAGGGACCTCTTGTATTGTATTTATCATCCAATATCAATAACATATTTTCTCCCGTGCCTTCTCACACCAAAAACTAACATATATGCTATAAAATGATTAAATTTCAAATTAAAAGATGAACTGCCTCCTTAAAATTAGGACACTTTATATAATCTACCTGGACCTACAGCTAAGAGCATCACAATATAGAAATAAAAGAGATTGAGAAAAAAATTAGCGGGATTCTATAAGAGGTATTTGCCAAAAAGGGGAATGGATGTACTGATTAATATCACACCATCAAGCACGCAGTGTTATCAAAGGCGAAAAGCGCAAAAAAGCTCTAAGGTCTGTTGAGGCTTTAAACGCAAAGCACAAATAAAGCGTGGGCTTTAATGAAAAAATGCGCAACGGGAGAAAAAGTAAAAATATGCATGTAGTCCAAGACTAATCATTATAAGCATGAATAACAAATATATGGACAAAGGGATTGGAAAAACATTCACGATAAAGTGAAATATCAATTGTTTAAGGTCGCCTTTTCAGGATTACAATCATTGGCAAGGAAAAGTATGCCTTATAGCTTTGATGCGACACTAAAGCGCCCACAAAGCGAGGAGAAGCACTCAACGTGTTTGAGCCTCGCTTCAGGGCTAAGCACGCTTTAAGCGCGCCATTGACAACACTGCAAGCATGCAAACATTATTACATCTCTCCTGCATGTAACTCTGGCTACCATTAAAAAAAAGTTGGAGAAACTTCAAAGGAATTTCCTAAGGACATAGAGGATGAGATAAAAAAAAGTTTCACCTCGTGAATTGGTAAACAACCACATCCTCCATAAACTATGGTGGCCTTGGAGGGAAAGATCTCAAGGTGTTCAACAAAACACTCGTAGGGAGGCAGCTTTGGAGGTTCGCCAACAATGCGTCATTTTGGAGGATAGTACTACTCGCAGCTAAGAACCCCATCCAAGAAGAGGGCGAACGAATGAATCCATTACGTTGCCTGAGGAATATGGAATGGAGGAACACCACGAAGGTGTAGGAAATTGCATGAAAACTTTAAGGATGGGGTAGGAAGTGGAACTGGTGTATAGAAGATATTCTGAGTGAGGCAACCTGAACGACCACAAGCTTCTCCGCAAAGAGGACACAGTATTCCTACATATATTACTATGGATTCCAAGAGGAAGGTATGTTTTCTTCACTTGGCCGGTGGCAAGGGAGCCATCATCACAGCTAAAATGTGAGGAGAAGAAGATAACGTACATCAGTTGGTGCTACATGTGTAAATGTGGAGAAGACGTGGATCTCCTACTATTTGCATCGCTAGGATGCAAGTCAGCAGTGGGGAAATCCGACTACAAGAAAGATCTGTTATTTAACTGGGATTTCCGAAGAAGCAAAAGAAGATATAGAGCATGAAATGTAGGTCACTTGGTGTTTGTGTTGGTAATTTGGAAGGAAAGGAAAATGAGAGCCTTTAAAAGAGTAAAAAATGAGTTTGCACTGATAAAGGCCTGGTTTTCGTTTCTAGTCAATTTCTGGTGCAATCAATGAGATTCCAGTTAGTATAGATGACTGCTGCAATTTGTAGAGAACCATAAATTGATGCAGGCTCTCCACTTTCTCTATGCCACCAGTGTAAGAGGACTAAATCCCACAACATCAAATAATTATTATGTTATTCCAAGAAAAGAGTAGAACAGTCTACTTAGTGCATACTCGGCTGAGCAAAGCAAATGATGTTTAAATGCTCACACAGCATCCATAAGGATATTAATAGGTTCAATATTCTGGAAACACCACAAGGTTGAAGATAAAAGAGAAATAACAGAAATAAGAAAAAGGTTATCATCCAATATCAAGAAACATAAGACACAACAAAGGGTCAGTTAGAACGATGCCAGACATAGCAATTTCCACATCTTCCCTTTAACCTTAGTTATATTAGCGGTAAATCACTATGGTGATTTGGCAACACCAGACGCACTGTAAATTTTCAAAGAAGGTAATTGCATGTTTGTCCTAGAATATTAAGATTCTGATTTGTCCTGCAACATTTATCATCTCAATTTGATCCTCGCTTTTGCATGTGATTCATTCTCAAGGCTTCCCAACCCAATCAATGACAAAGTTTCCAGGCAAATTATAAACACGTAGCAGGTCATGGCAGCATTTTTGGAGTGAAAATGAACTACAACCTAGATGAAAAACCAAAGTGTGTATGCGAACCAACTGCCTCACTGTGTTTTGTAAACAAATACTTTGATCGATAAGTAAAACAATCATAAAATGTTCAAAACATCTTGTCTTCTTCCAGCTCGCTTCCACACACTGAGATAACCATTCAGCAATTGCATTGACTGTTTCTTTCAACTCTAGGCCTTTCCGACTCCCAAAGCTAAAACTGCCCATGCTATCTCCAGCACACTATAACCAACTACTCAAACCTCTGTGCTATCTCTGTGAAAATTCCAATACCACCTTGAAGCCCGATATCACCTATCTCACTCTCAATTTTTAACGAGTCAGTGCAACTCTAGTGACAGATTTAGGGAACATTACAAGCAGAAAAAAAATCATAACTTCAATAATAACACTGATATTTAGAAAACCCTATACTTGAGGTCACTTAGGAGTTGTTTGGTCCTCGGACAAACTTATCCTGCGATTATAATCATGGAATTAATAATCCCTTGACTTATTTAGTGCTATTGCTTTGTTTGGTTCATTGAATTAAAAATGGGATATGTATATAACATGTGTTTGGTTTGAAGGGGGATAAACTTGGGAAAAAATCTGTTTCCTATTTTAACCTTGGATATTTCATGACTTCTAGAAACAGCATTTTCTTAACAGAAAGCTCCAGCCTATAACATTTTCTGATAATTATACTAAACTCAAATACCGAACTCCCACATAAACTAGAAAACTTTATCAAATCCCAACTAACAAAATTGGTTTTCTAAACCTACTTTTACACAGCCATCGACTGCAGCCTACAAGGATTTACCTGAGATACTAAGGTACTTGACCAACACTGCTTAGTAACTCTCTGATGATAGCTCATTTAAGCATCCATTCACAGTCTCTGTGGTAGAACAGCATAATTAATATGGCAGAATTGGAGGTGCACAATTTTAAAACTTTCCTGATCCAACAGCATCCAAGCAGATCACCGAGACAGATACATAATGAAACATATAGAGCTTGAACGCAACAAGAAGTAACAGGAAAGTGTTGACAAGCTTACCTTGATCCGTTGTCCCCAAGGCCATGCAGCCAAACAATAGTTGCCTGGTGTTTACCTTTAGGCTTCACCACGTAAGTCTGTCCAAACTCAAATGCCCTTCGAGCAATTCCTGCACCTGCAATATATGCACATCAAGGGTTACTAGGACTAGAACAATTGAAGGGGACAGATAAATAATATGTTAATAGTCTGTCTTCAGTTGATAAATAACACTCTCTTTTCTATGATTTTTAATATATTGGGCAAATTAAAAAAGGACAAGAAAAGAAATTTTGAAATGAAGTTACGAGTCAAGAGGATATACACATTCCCTGCTATTCAATCTCGCTTTCATATTTTTTATGATCTCCATAATGAAGAAATAATAGTTGTCGAATTTTTGGACTTTTTCTTTGCTTACCATTCTATTGGCAAATAGGTTAAAATTGCACTATAAGAACATTTAAGAGTTTGGTCATGAAGTGTTAGAACCAAAACCTTTCCTTTTATTTTTTATATATGTATTGTAAGGCCATATTTCTTTCATTCAGTATCTTTCAATATTTATAGTGAGAAAACAATATTCCAATAAAAATTGCCTTAGAAAAATAAAACTAGATTCCGTGATTTACTTGCATTTTGGGAAGGCGATCTTGATATGCCATGATGAAAACAAAAAAAGTGACATCTACACTGACCAAAAGACATGGAGACAAACCATAAAACTAACCAGAAGCCATGGAAGGCCCAGTAAAACTCATACTTGCTTCAAACAATGGCACCTGCAAACACCAAAAATCAGCTTTGCACATAAAGGCCACCCGGAAGTTAGAACTATAATTTTTTATTGTTTTTTTTATTTGAGAATGGTAACATGTAATAAAGTTAGAACTATAATATCAAAGCAATTGTCAACATAAACTGCCTTTTGACTTAAACCTTGCTACCATTAATCACATTTTACATTGCGGTATGAACACAAAGATCATCTCAATGTAGCTGAGTAAATAAAATCTAGATAGACATGTTACTATTCACCCAATTCCTTTTTTTTAATGGGTAAATAATATATTATATAAATATATGCACTAAGCCAGTGCAAGAGGCCTAATTACAGGTTGTGCAATAGTTCACCCGATTACTTTTGCAATGAAGCAGTCGAAAAAAAACGAAGGAAAAAAATGGTAACTCCAATCAATCAACTGCACCTCAATTTCGAACTAGCTGTGTGGGTACTATATCCAATCTTCTTTACTCGAGCCTATTTCATTCCAATACTAAATTATTTGTCTTCAAAGGCAAATCCCTGGGGATTTCCTGAAACTAGAGGTTTTCTAGGTTTCATATTTATCCCTATAAACTCACAAACCCCTTACCACACAAAAGATTCTCGACAAACACTAGACAAATGTAAGTTTTAACAATAACTAAACCTTAATCTCAACTAGTTGGTATCGTCCATATGAAGCATTTGGCTTCCTTTTTAAGTTACGTTTAAAGGTAAGTTCACATCAATCAGTAGTTTCCAACCAACTGTTCAAAAAAATATCAATAGTTTCCAAACAGTTAAAGTTAAATGACCAGATGACAATTCAAGACTTCCATTCATCATTAGAAAAAAGAAAGAAACAAATAGAAACAACTCTCTACTAGTTTTTTTTGACAACTGAGAAATCCACAAAGGTCATTGGCACACGGTTCGAAACTCGGCAGGTAATGCCGCCCCCCCCCCCCCCC